TCGTTGCCGTGCACTTTCCTTGTAAACACGATAAGTGGAAGGCAGTTTTACTTTTTGGCTTTATATTTACAGAGCTGATGAATATTCATAAAATGCAGGTCAAGTTCGAAAATCAGCATGATCGGGCCATTATTGTAGAAGTTATGCTGTTTTTTCACTTTTCAGCATATATGCAACACTGTAAACACATTTCAACAAAAACCGATAGGCCTGTTGTCATGAAACTCACAGGAAAAATTGATCTTACTAAAACGCAGGTCAAGTTCAAAAATTGGCATGATCGGGCCACTATTTTAGTAGTTATGCTTTTTTTTCTTTTTTCAGCATATATGCAACACTGTAAACACAATATAAGAAAAACAGATAGGCCAATTGTCATTAAACTCACAGGAGTGGTCAATCCTGCTAAAACGCAGGTTAAGTTCAAAAATCAGCATAATCGGGCCATTATTTTAGAAGTTATGCTGTTTTTTACATTTCCTTAGATTCAATTCTTAGGCATGTTAACAGTTTCATTATTTAATTAATAAGATATGTAAAAGTGTTTTTTTGACATTTCCTGCATCTTTACAACATTGTTAGTTGATTTTGTAAAAATGATGTTAAACTTGTTATTGTGTATTGTGTAATAAAGTTTCAAAAATGGAAATAAACTCATATCATTGCAGTTTGTCAGATTGAATCATTCACTATGTTCAGAATCTCAGAATGGAAGAAATTGGACATTTAACACTATTGATATTTTTCCCATCTTATCAATTTTCTTAGTTGATCATATAAAAATGGCAGTAAACTGTTAATTTTGTTTTATGTTAAAAATTCTTAAAAGTGGAAATAAACCCATTTCAGAACAGTGCTGTCTTGTTAGGATTGGCATGCAGTTCAAATTAGAAAGCCAGCTCAATTGGGTTATCATTTATTATTGAATTTATGCAGTTTTGTGTGAAATTTTCATTTTTCTCATTCTGGCATTTTCAAAGTGTGAACTTGAACTCCCATTGGCCTGAAGCCTTATGCTTGTTACACATTTTACTTACGTCAGTATTACCTGTTGAGCATAATTAAAATTTGATGTTGAATTTGCAGTTGAGCATAATGTACTTTTGCATCAGAATTGACAGTAGCCTATTTTGTGCATTGTTATTGTCTGCTTTTTGTCTGTACATTTGACAGCTTTGCTGCCTTGTTATCTTCATTTTCACAAGTCTGCACACTGTACACTCTTGGTGTGGAGAGGTTAATGCCCTCTGTACAATTGGGTAAATATTAAATATGATGATCTAAAGTGCTGTCAAATTCTTCATCAAAGGTCATCATTTTTACCTTGGATCACTCATTAATGTCCTTTATGGAAAATTGTAGTAGGGTTCAGTGCCTATTTTGTGCTCTTTTGGTGGATCGTTGTAATGACAGCATTAGTGACTTTTTTTTTGTGAGTTTTTATCTGTGTTTCAGCTCAAAGAAAAGAAGAGGAAATCTATATCCAGTCACAGCAGGGCCAGCACTCCGGCCAGCTTGGACAGAAGTTCTAAAGATTCAGACAGTGCAATAGGAGATAGCAATAGGAGTAGCCCAAGGTAGGACCCTCCGCCCCCCCCCCTCCCTCCCTCTCCCTCTCTCTCTCTCTCTCTCTCTCTCTAACACACACACATCTTTCATCCATTGCTGATAGTAACATTGGAAGACTACGACTGGTACACCTTCATCAGCAAGAAGTTTTCTTATAATTTTCTAGTAGAGAAGAAGCAACAGCAAATAAAAATGATGAAGCCCCTGCCTCAAAGGAGAGCCAATCAGAACATGACGAGGTCTCCAACACTATGTCTACTCCAAAGAGAAATTTATTTCCGCAGAAAACGATAGGTTCAGCAAAACGAAGAATGGGGCAGATTCATATCGCACCAGATATGCTCAATAAACAGGTAGAGTGATAGCAACTAATTCCAAACATCAGGCTTATTGCAGTATTGAATTTCTAATAAAATTGAAACTGTATTATATTAAAGGTTTTCTCCAGGACATTTCTTGGGGGGAAAAGGAAAATTTTCTCCTAGTCATGAAGCATTGCTTTACCTATCCCTACATTTGTAGTTCATATTCAGTTCTTTTTCCCTTTATTATTTTTCTCTTATTATTTTTTACGTTTTAATTATTTTTTTCTTTTCAGAAACAGGTAGAGCCATACTTTATACCCTCTCCAGAAGATTATGAAAAAGATCGTGAGATGGCAGAGAAGAGATTGGATCATATGTTAGCTATGGTGGACAAAGGGTTACAGGAGAAGAAAGGTATAAACTTGTGAAGTAAATGGTCTTAAATTTAATTTTGGTGTGAGAAAAAGTGTTTTTATGATTTGTTTAAAAACTTTTTTTGAATTAAATCATAAAGGAATTATTATTTGGTTTGGAGAGAGGCTCATAAAAGTATACACCATGCATTAGTTGGCAAAAAAAATTATTACAAACTCCCAAGTGCTTTAATTCTTATTTTTACCATCATGAGTGAATACTCTTTATAAACCTGATGCAAGTGTCTCAAAAACTACATACATGAACTCAAAAATGGGTTTATGGATTGTAATACTGTGAACAGTTTTATAAATTGTAAACTTTGCTTATAAAGACATAAGTGTTGAAATGTCCAGAAAAAATGTTTTTTTTTTTTTTTTTGTAAGTCTAGCATTCAGTGTTTGTCTTTGATGAAATAAGATAACAACATTTTTTGACAAGCTAGCTTATAGAGCTCAATTGTTTGCTGTTGCATGATTTTTATTGTAATTCATGTATTGTGAATTATTTCTGTTGACATTTAATTATGTTACAGATAAACAGAAGTTACAACAGGCAAGTGAAACATCTTTGGCCAGTCAAAGCACCACTCTGTCCACTGTGACAACAGCGATATCGGTCAGTAACATTTCCCTGCCCACAACAGCAACAACAACAACTGTAAGTGCTGGATTTTCTTTAAATCTGCCATCTTCAAGTTCCAATGCTTCAACGTCATCAACAACGGGTACAACAACTGTATCAACAACAGCAGGGACAACAACTACTTCTGCCACAGGTTTTAGTTTGACATTGCCTACTCCTGTCAGTAAGAGCACAGGTTTGAGCAGCTTGCCCACGACAAGTCAATCCACGACTTCAGGGTCAGAGACTGTTGCCAATGCAACTGCAGTAGCACCTGGTGGCTTGCAGTTTGGTGCAGCTGCATCAGATAAGGCAAACAAAAATGTAGGTGGAGACACTAAACAGGAAAATACCAGTTCTCAGTCATCTGCTCAGACTCAGTCACAGTTTTCATTTAAGCCAGCATTCCCTGTTGTATCGGCCACTCCCACGGTAACATCAGCACAGTCCTCCTCCATAGGTGGCAGCACAAGCTCCACTCCAAGTACAACGCAAGCAGGTGGGATTAATTTTGGAACATTTGGGGCATCACAAGCTTCCACAACACCTAGTTTTACACCAGTGTTTGGTCAGAGTATGAGCAGCCAAAATAGTGCTGCTGGTTTAGCTGGTGGCTTATCTTCTGCAGCCACATCAACAGCGCCACCTACAGGAGGTTTCTCCTTTGGCAAGGACCCAGCCACAACATCTACTTCAGCCACGGGAACAGGAGTGTCAACAAGAGCTGCCCCGGGTGCGAGTGGGTTTAGTACAAACACCACCTCTACAACGTCAGGAACTGGCACCACCATCACTCAGCCGAAAAGTGGGTTCAGTTTTGGTGGTGTTGGCGGTGGCACCCAGCAGACAACTACGCCTGCAGCACCACCTCCAGCTTATGGTGCCATGTTTGGGCAGGGGGTTGGTGGTACGGCACCAGCCAATACCACAGCGCCTGTATTTGGCCAGGTGGGTATTGAAAAGGGTTGTGGGTCATTATGATCATCATCATAGACTTTACAAATCTATCAGCCCCAATTAAAATTAATTCATCTGAATGTGATAACTACAGATGAGTGTTATTACTAATAATCTGTTAAAAAATGAGATTTAGAAAATATAATTTCCAATAATTAAATCAGAATATTATCTTTGAAAAACCACTGCTTTACTTGAAGTAAGTTAAATCCACTACTAGTAATTTGTTGCCTGGATAACAGCAGAATGAAAAAGAAATTATCCATTTAATAATGTATTTGTATATTTATTTCACAGACTAATACTGTGACAACAGTTGGTACTACAAAGGCTACCTTTGGCTTTAGTTCCACCACCACACAGCCATCTCCAGCACCTGGTACAGGGTTCTCTTTTGGTGAGTTATTTTTTGAGACTGGAGGCTCAGCAAAGAAATAAAGCGTTTATTTTGTTTGCCTTATTCCCCCAGTTGGAGTTTCAGTCAAATAAAGAATGGAAAAATTCAACCCCACACTGGACACACTCGCACAGATTGTAGCTGCGACAACAGTGACAATTAGTTTGTTTTCTTAGTGAAGCTTGTTATATATAGATAAAATGTTTGAGATCATGAGTCTTACTCTAACATGAGGTTCTTTATATGAATGAAGAGGTTTCTTTTGTATCGACTTCAGTTCATAGATTCTGAAGGGTAATCATTTATCAGTAATCTGAAAGAAGCTTTTACACCATTAAACTTTAATTATACAGAATTCACGCATTTTAAAAATTCACAAAGAATGTTTGTATAATATACCTTCATTTTCATGTATTACAAACAGCATGGTATGTTAGAACATTTCGTTTTATCAAAATTAGGCAGTTGCAGTGATAGACATTTAGTCTCTATGTGATGAGTGTGTTTATGTTCAACTTCCTCACTTCAGGCGGGTTGGGAGCTACTGCAAGCACCACAGCAAGCACCACCACCACTTCAGGCACCACTGGGTTTTCCTTTGGCACCACTTCTACTGGTGCAGGAGGAACCACTGGCACTACATTTGGTGGCTTTGGCACTACTTCCACCAGCGCTGGAACCATTGGCGCCACTTTTGGTGGTGCTCCAACTACAGCATCATCGGCACAACCGGCGTTTGGCTCGACAGGGGTCACGCAGAGCAGTGTCTTCTCCTTTGGTGGATCTAGCAACACTACTGCTGCCCCAAGTGGTGGCACAGGATTTGGAAATACGAACACAACCCAAGCTAATGGCGTCTTTAATTTTGCTGCCTCTGTTGGTACTGCAGCATCACAAGCTAAAGGCACAACAGGGCCCCTTTTTAACCCTGGTGGTGCCACTACACAAACTACAACAGCCAGTAGTGGATTTAATTTCTCTACAGGGATCACTCAGTCCTCAGCAGGTTTTAATTTTGGTGCCGCCGCTGCCTCTCAAACGGGCACTGGGTCTGTCTTTGGTCAGACAGCTGCCCAAGTAACAGGAGGTGTTGGAGCCAAGCCGTCTGGTTTGTTCACATTTGGCAGTGGTAGTAACAGTACTTCTAACAGTAATAACAGTACTCAGCAGCAACAACAGCAGCAACAATCTCAATCCAGTGGATTGTTCACGTTTGGTGCCACAGTTGGTGCGAAAAGTGACACCCAGACAGCTGGTACTGGGCTGTTCAGTTTTGGTGGTAATTCTGTAGGGCAAAGTGCAGGAACGGCCTTCGGAACACAGGGCTCTAGTACTGGAACAGCTTTCGGAACACAGGGTGCTAGTACTGGAACAGCCTTTGGAACGCAGGGCTCTAGTACTGGAACAGCCTTTGGAACACAGGGTGCTAGTACTGGAACAGCCTTCGGAACACAGGGTGCTAGTACTGGAACAGCCTTTGGAACACAGGGCACTAGTACTGGAACAGCCTTTGGAACACAGGGCACTAGTTCTGGAACTGGCTTTGGAGCGCAAGGGACAGGGTTTTCATTTGGAGCAACTGCGACTCCTAATGCATTTGGGAATCCTCAGAAACAGACCCAAAGTGCATTTGGTGGAGCTTTGCCGTCCCAGAATGCTTTTGGAACAAGTGGGTCTTCCCAGAATGCTTTTGGTGCTAATCAAGGTCAAGCGGCCAATGGTAAGTTAAAAATGTAGGTTTTTGCATTTATAAATGAACATATAATATTTAATATTTCAGTTAAATTTATATACTTTATGAATCATATTAATTTCATATTTTAGCTCTTAATAGATTTTTTATTAATTTATTCCTAGGAACCCAGCAAGTGTCTTTTAACTTTGGTCAGTCCTCTGGGCAGACACCAGCATTTGGTCAGTCAGGGAAAACTGGACCTCCGACCTTTGGTCAGTCCACGCCCGCCCCAGTCTTTGGCACTCCTGGCGGTCAGGGTGCCACGCCAGCCTTTGGTCAGTCAACACCAGTAGCTCCAACGTTCGGAAGCCCTGCTGCACCTGGATTTGCCCCTGGCACCCCTACAAACTTTAACTTTGCTGCAGGCACATCAGTGCCGCGACCACGTGTTGCTGCACGTCCAAGGAGAACAGTTAGGAAGCGCTAACTGTGTTAGGTTTTATT